GAAAAAATAAGACATCCTTTGAAAATAAGCCCTATTGTGTCTTTTGGCAAAAAACTTTACAGATGTTCCTCACTTAATGATCTACCTGTTTAATGACTGTTTGGACTTATGACCGAGGTGCACACTTTGGACTTACAACCCACTACTCGAACTTACAACCTACCCGCTGCTAGAATTTGTGATCCATCTTTTTTTTGGTACAGTTCTGTCCATCTTGTTTATATAGCCTCAATGTCTTTTTTGTATATTATTCCTTGTTTATACAGTATGGTAAATTCTACAGATTGTACTGTATAGTACAGTACTGTAGTTTTATGTTATACATTACAGTACTGCATGTAAGAGTTATGCAAATAAAAGCAAAGTCATCAGTTGGCATTCCCTTTGATCATGTCTTTGTTCTGAATTGTTAAATGAGGAACCTAGGTAATATAACACCAGTCTTCTGGTCTTTCTAAGGAAATGTGGTACCTGGGATTCTGTTGGGCTATTTTTGACATCTGGGGTTGGATGGTTCCTCCAGTGGAAACTTTCCATTCAATACCATATGTTTAGCTTCCCTGATACCTGCCCATTAAAGACTGGTATTTGTCTTTGTGACAAGTCTTTGTGACAACCAAAATAGATCCTCTACATTCCCAAATCCCCCATAGAAGGAAGTACCTCTACGGGTTGAGAAGATCAAATTTAACATTCTTGGCTTTTCTTTATCAGGAAAATAAGGAAAGTGGACAAGATGCCCTCTAGGGTCCCTTCCTGCTCCATTGAAGTACTTAGTAACACCTTACACACATCACACTTTCTCCAAGTTAAGGCTTATTCTTATTTATCCCACAATGCTGACAAATGTGCCCCTTGAAAGGACATGTAAGTTACCATAAAAAGTGCAAAAACAGAGGCCGTGGTCCTGACTTGGCCCTGTCTGTGGTTAGCTATGTGGCTAGCTTCGTGACTCCGCTCAGTCATTTAGTCTCCTTGGGCTTTCTCATCAATCAACTGTAAGAAGGAGAACTGACTTAGAAGGTCAGTGCCAGTTCTAAAATTGGATGATTCCCTGCAATAAAGAGCACAGGGTCTGTGGGATTTCCTGAACCTCAAGGAAGCTGCCAGAGGTCTCCTCTCTGATTTTATAATAAACCTTTCTTAGAAAAAATGTGTTTTTATAAGGCTAAATAAGACGCAGTGGACCCAGTGTGTCCCTTTGGACCCGTGAGTATTAGATGACACTAATCAGATGTCTAATAAAGACAGACAAAAAGCCTTATGGGAGGGAATATCCTGTTTGGTCTTACTGATGAAAATCCAGGGGTCTGAGTGGTTTTAAGTGAAACTGTGATGCACTACTCAGCTATTATCATCTCTAACAGGCCTTCTTCAGTCCTGCAGCCAAGAATTTACAACCCAATTTCAATGTGTTTCAATTATGATGCTCTAGTCTTACCAAAGGGTGTTTATTATTTGCTGATCTGTTATTATTTTACACTTAACTGTCAGCCTTCTTAGAGCACAGTGAGTGATCTATTTTACACTTAACTGTTTGTATTTAATTAATTTAATGGGTCAAAAATTGCCCATTTAGTAAGTTAAAAAAACACTGTATAATTTACAGCTTGAATAGGAAACTCCCTGAGGGTGTAAACTCCCTCTTTACCCAGCATCTGAGGACTCATTTTTGCCTCCTTGGCAAAAATGCTTGGTGGAGAGCTTGGCACATAGTAGAGCTGGTGTGTGGGCCAGAGAGGGATGAGAAAACTAAAACAAGCTCAGCATACTTCTGCAGAAACTGGCTCATAATCTAAATGTAATCTCCAAGCTTGGTCTCTTCTCACTCCTGAGAGAGTCAGGAGTGGATGGTGTGTTGATCTCTCTCCTCTTGCAAATGAGACACTTCCTGAACTCACACACTAGTTGGACTGTCCCTGTGAAGCCAACTGAACCATACTGTAATTCTTGCTATTTGCTTTCTCTTGTGAATAGCATTTAGTGGACAGGAAGGTTGCCTACAATTTTCCCCAGAGATTTAACATCATGTAGGAAATTATTTCCAAGTGAGTACTTTTGAAATACTGAATTGAAATTTTTGTACTGAAAAACAAAAGCCTTGTTAATGAGAAAATTTGTGTGCCTTGTAAGAGAGGTTTTGAACATAGTATTTAGGAGTAAAAAAGGTCAATATTTTCTAATATTTCTATTTTCTAAAGGATGCAGTCGATCCAACTCCCCAGACATTTGCCGTCACAGAGTTCTCAAGCCCTATTTTCTGGTCTCCTTCTTCTTTCCTGGTTCTTATCCTTACACAGAACAACTGTTGGTCTCTTCCCTCAGTCAGTGAGCTCCATTTTGCCCACTTTACATAACTGTCCCTTTCTGGTCCCCTAGAGAGGGTAAGGGGTCAAGTGTAAGGAGAATATCATGAAAAGACTGGTTGGATGTTGGGATAGGGTTTAGGGGTCCAGAGCTTGGATGCTGATGATCTAAAATAATTAGCAGTACAGAAGGTAGTACCCTAGGATGGTTCAAAGATCCAAATAGTGATTTTACAAAAAAGATGGCTGGTCAAGTTGTACCAAAGAGAGTTAGGGCTGAGATTATGGCCCTTTTCTAGACAGAGCTACATGCTGATTTGGGTACCCTGGAGAACTGTGTGTTATGTGTGGTGGGAGAGTATTTTCAAATGGGCAGTTTTATAAGAAGCAGGGAGAAAACATCGGCATCCATGACTAAGAAAACCAGACCGCAGCCACAAGATCCTCTCAAGATAAGATGTATGTAAACAATACATTGTATCTCCAGCACCTCCAAAGTACCTGGCACATAGTAGCCCTTTCAGCAAACATTATTTGAATAAATTGAAGACTATAAAGGACGTCAAAACCTATTTAGTGCCTTTGTTTAGAGAAAAAGAAATTAAAACCATGACCATTAGTGGTTTGGCGAAAGCCACACAACTACTCTACAGAAACAGACCTGGAATTTGAGACGTTCCTCTCAAGACCTTGTCCTTTCCACCTCCCTCTGCCACGTTTGGCTGATAGAACTAGGGTGGAAACTGGAAGTTACTGGCCCTGCTCCATGGAAGGAGTTTTCTGACTACAGCCCATGCATGTCCCCATGCAGCTTACTTATTGGAGGGAGGCAGACGATGAAGCAAATTGTGTTACAGCTCAGAAGATGATCAGTGTTGTGGGATGAAACAGCAGAGTGGGGTAGGGAGGACCTGCAAAGCCAAGGTCGGGGGTCAGGCTTGCCATAAAATCTCTGACATCTGATTTTCTTCAATGTCAATGTTTTCAAAAAATCTTTTATGAAAGTCAGGAATAATCTTAACTGGCATCCCTTAATACCAGTTAAGCGAATAATCTGAACTGGTATTCTAGCTTCTTTCCAAGGGTAGAAGGTGGATCTTACTTTCAACACTTACTAAGGCCTTGGGTAGGAGTGCCTGGTACTCAGGAGGAGTATATATCACTGAAAACTTTTCAGCATGCTCATGCTGGGGGTCCTTTGGAACTGTTGGGTGGAGTTCCTAGGGAACAAGCAGCTTAGAGATCTACTACCTAAGAGTCCATAACCACTGGCAGCCTCAGAGATCACTGGTCAGGGATGTGCCCAACTACTCCAAATGGCAACTGATAACTTGCTGTCACTGTGAAAAGGCAACTCACAAAGACTCAGTAAATGAGCAATAACGCATGGGAAGTCGGATCAGCAGGGGCTGGAATACAGGCAGAGGGCCACGGAGAAAGGACCAGGCTCACTCTGGCTCATCCTCTGTTGGACGCATCCCAGTGAACCCATTTACAATCTCTAACAGCTCCCAGAACCAGTGACCCAGTGCTCTCTGATGAGTTTGACTAAAGTATCTCATTAGCAGCAGGGACAGCAGTTGATGGCTGGAGAAGAATGAGGCAAAGGCTCTGGTTGATCTTAAATCAGTAGCCATAAAAACAGTCAAACAGGCTGCAGCGGGGACTCCTTCCTCCACAAATAAAGTATTCTTACTGTACCGATGCTTCCTCAGCAGTTTTCTGGAGGTATGTTCCTTCTTCCTCTCTCCCTTCTCCATTCTGTGCCCCCTCGGTATGCCTCACTGTGTCCTACCCTTTCTTTGAAGAACTGGCTAACATGTTCACTTCAATTCTGAGACCCAGAAGTAGAGTGATAATTTTTCCTGATTGTGGAGAGGTAGATGGAAGAAGGGGAGTAAAAATCATCACAGGGCACATGATGACAGATAGTGCCTGTTAGGCTGCAGACCAGGGACAGCACATGATGCACCTGTACTGTATTTAATAACTACAGAAACCATTGGATGGTGGCTCCTGGTGACCATAATGCGAATAATGATTTCCTGGCAGACATCTACTGTGTGAGGCTCCAGGAGTTAATTGGCCCAACGTCTGATCCCAGAAAAGACAATGCTTGGAAAGATCATCTGGAAATCAGGACATTTTCCCGGATGTGCATTATCTCATAGCTTTCCACACTCCTGTTTATCAGATTATTCCATTCTTCATGGCCTCTTTTCTGGAAATTTAGATACCTTATTCTTCAGACTCTGATGTAAAACAAATGACCTGTTTAGAAAAAGTGCAAATTTCTACAGCAAGGAAGTACGCAGTAGATTTCCTCTCCAGGCAAAAATTATTTACATGGTTACAATTTATAATAAAAGAGAAACCTACTGTGTTACTAAAACATCTCACATCCTTGGTAGCACTGTGGATACACAGAGCTCTCTAGACCCATTCTGTAGATACTGGTAAAATGTTTACAATATGCACTGCAGTTTTGAAGCAGAGAAAATGTGACCTGAGAATCAGTTATCTCTGCTCTTTCTTCCTCAACTCTGACATCCTAATTGTTTCTTTTTTTTTTTTCCTCCGGTACTGGGAACCGAACTCACGACCTTGCGCTTGCCAGGAAGGCGCTTTTGCCACTGAGCTAAATCCCCACCCTAATTGTTTCTACTGCATCCTCTGTAATAGCACTTCTCAAACTCTTAGGTCCGTGTGAATGAGTGTCTGTTTAGCATGGAAAGGGTGGAGTTTGAACCTGCATATTTACAAGCTTCTAGGTAAAGCCAAGGCTATCTAGGCAAGGACCACACTTTGAGTAGCAAAGGCCTATACTTCTATATCACAGTTGTTCTGATGTGGGTTGGTACCATCTTACTGGACTCTAGCCAGTCATTAACTTGCTTTGCCTTTCCAAACCCGTTCCCCATATAGTTCAAGAAGCCTTTTAACATATAAGTGACACCATCAATTCTCTTATCACCACCCATGCAGTGGCTCCATGTTGCTTAGAGATAAAGCCTCAGCTCCTATTGATGACCCTTGGACTCCCTCATGAGTAGGCTCTGCACCTAGCCAGCTTCCTCTGCCACTCCCCATCTGAAACACAAGGTCCTTGTGTGGTAGGCACCATCAAGGTCTCCTCAATGATCCCTGTTTCATGCCCCTGTGCAGTCCCCGCTCCTACTGAACAGGACTGATCTGTGAGGCTACTGAGATTCTGTGTGATTTCTCTGATTAGGTAATAAAAAATACTTGGCTTTTAAAAATGTGTTTTTGTGGTGCTGGGGATCAAACCCAGGGCCTTGTGCACGCAAGGCAAGAACTCTACCACTGAGTTACATCCCCAGCCCAATACTTGGCTTTTGCCTTATTCCTTAGATCATTCACTCTGGGAGAAGACAGCTATCAGGTCATGAGAACTCATCGGTGGGCCTATCAAGAAAGCCATGTGGTAAGGAACTAAGATGTTCTGTCAATAGCCACTGAGTTAAACATTCTAAAAGCAGACCTTCAGCCCCATCAAACATTTACATGGCTGCAGCCCCTGCTGAAAGCTTGACTGCAGCCACATGACAAACTCTGAATTAGAAGCTTCCAGCTGTCACTCCTGAATTCCTGGCCCACAGAAGTGGTGAGATGACAAATGTCTGTTTCATTAAGCACTGCATTTTAAGTGGTTTTTTTGTGTAGCTATGGATGACTTCTCCTATGCAGAGTTTCCCACAGTATGCTGGTTCCTCCTCTGGGAATACCCTTCATTTTGGTAACTCCTATTCATCCTTTGAGAGGCAGCTTTCTAGTTCCTTCCTTTGGGAAGCCCCTTTGACATCTACCTTTAAGACTAGGCCATATGTCTCTTCTCTAGGCTGTGATGATGCCCTTGGCATGTCTTTATCCCTGTATTTATTATAATGCCTAGATATTATCTATATCTTTAGTGCCAGTCACAGTGCCTGGCACATAGTAGGCACTCACTACATGCACAATGAAGAAATGAATGAAGTCAGCTGTCCTGGAATCACGACTCCACAGCAACTTATCTCTTTACTTTGGAAATTCCCAAAACACCTGCCACTGCTTGCTTGACCAGCTGTCTCCCATGAGAAAGCTGTAATTCAATCCATGGACTGCTTCGTTTCTAGTTTTTGGTTACAGCACTCATTCATTGACTTACTTCAGTAACTTTTAATCAGGAGAACATACCAGAATCATCTGTGAAAATTTTAAAAAATGTACTCCTGTTTCAGTTTTGCCTCCAGAGATTCTGAGTCAGAAGTCACAAGGTAAGCTCCAGACATGTATATTTTAACATCTCCATGGATAACTTTTTATACTCAAGTTATATTCATTGCTTTGTTAATGTCTAATCTATGTCCAAAAAGAATAGGAGGTTTTCCAGAATACACAATTACTAAAACAAAACTAAACTTCAAAATTCTTAAATAGGGAAATATATTAAAAGAACACATGATGACAAGGCTAGGTAGCAAAATATTATACCAGAAAACCTAGGCTAAGAAAACTGCAAATGAACATACATCTTTCTCTTTTTCTTTCTGTCTTCCCTCTTTCCTTTCTTTCTTCTTTCTTTCTTTTTTCTTTCTTTCTTTCTTTCTTTCTTTCTTTCTTTCTTTCTTTCTTTCTTTCTTTCTTTTTCTTTCTCTCTCTCTTTCTCTCTCTCCTTCTTTTTCTTCCTCCCTTCCCTCCTTCCCTTCCTCCCTCCTTCTTTCTTGAGGTAGGGTCTCAGTATGTAGTGCAGGCTGGCCTTGAACTTGTTTATGTAGCCCAGGCTGGCCTTAAACTCTTGGCAATCCTCCTGCCTCAGCCTCCTGAGTGCTGGGATTATACGTGTGTGCCACCATGCCCAGTTATACCTATATTTTTAAAGAACTTTCTTGGAGCCAAGGAAAAGCAGATCTGAATGGATTACACAATCCTCAATATTTGAAGGAAGTAGCAAATACATTTATTGTAAAGACAGTCTTTGCCCTAGTAATAAATTTGAAGGGGAATACAGCCTATAGGTCTTTATATAAGCGGAATGATATAATGGATGATATAATGAATGATATAATGGATGGTGTCTTTGATGTTTTTATTTTAAAGAAAAAGTGCAGGAATGCTTCATATACAGCCAAAAGCATAATATTCAGTTCTAGGTTCATAAAGGTGTTTCTACAGTGAGTCAAATAATAAAGTATGCAGTTTCCCTGCTACCTATGCTAATATAAAAGAATGCTAGAATCTGGGGGGAAAACAGCTTGAACATTCCTTTCATTTTCAGTGGTCTCAGAAAGGCTTTTTACAGAAGCTCAACAGCAGACATCTCAGCACTCCACCTCCTTACTTGGCAGGCCAAAAGCTTGAGATATTTTTTCACTGCACCTCTGCTGGCCAAAGATGGCAGGTAGGGATGGAAACTTGGAGGTGTGCATTAAATGCCAGGGACACTGTTCCACAAAGGCCTCCATAGACAGGGCTCAGAATTGGTGTATTACAGCCTTAGCAAATCATGGAAGGATAGATCCCATATGCAAGTTCTGCCATACAGAGTGCTGCACGTAGCACAGTTTATAGTGATCACTGCAAAACAGAGCAGACTTCCTGTCTACCAACAGGGTGTGTGCTCAAGGACAAAATTTTTAATGAAATATCCCATAGTTTCATGGTAGAATATCAAACTTCAAAGACATACAGATTGTTAGAAGCAGGAACAGAAGGTTGTCTGGAAAGAGTATTTTTTATAAATTTTAAAAATGCTCTGTAATTTCAAGCTAGCTAGTTTCCTGCTGAGAAAATAAAAATTGTAACTTCATAGAATGAACTTCTAACCACAGATAACAGCTACAAGGGTGGTTCCTGCTCATAAACAACCTGGACAGGAGAATGTGGATGTCTGAGGTAACTATTACTAACTGCGAAAGCAGCAGAAAGGATAGCCTTCTTTGGGTGAATCGATACTTCTTGAAGTATCTAAAGTATTATCAGAAGTATCTCGGAAGTATGTAAAGTATATCAGAAGGATCTAAACTCCAAGAATTTTGAAGTCCAGGTCTGGATACTCCTTAAGTCACCAATAAGGTAGATACCAATTGAATACTGACCATTCCATGGTAAAACCAATAACTGCTCAAAATAGCTGGCCTCAGTCTTGAGAGATGAAAGGAAGAAAATTGGATCTAAATTTGGAGATTAGATCTACTTTTGTAGCCTATACTTATCTTCACCCAGAAGGTGTGTTCTGGGGAAAGATGCCTGAGAGACTGACTTCTCCACTTTGCTGGAATGCTGTCTGCAAATTTTCATTACACACTTTGGGGACTATCTGTGTTCTTCTCAATCTTCTGCTGACTTTGGGTCATTCATTTATTTTAAAACCCATTCTTTCTGGGGTTGGAATGAATGATAAAATTCAAACACAAGTGTTATGGCTTAGATCTAAAATTTCCTCCAGAATCTCAGGCATTTGGAAAGTAACTGGAACTTGGAGAACTGAATGTGATACTGGTCAGAGGAGGCAGGTGGCCACTGGGAGGTAGCTTGGAAGACTTATCTTTCATCTGGCAGCTTTCCTTTGCCAGGCTCTTCTACCATGCAGTCTCTGCCTTGGACACAGTTCACTGCAGACTGAAACCATGAGCCATATAACCTCTTCTCCTTTAAGCTGTGGGTGTCATGTATTACGCTGGGAAACCAAGCCAACAACTTTGATTTTTCAGGATCATCAGAATCTCTGTGTATTACCACTCTAAATGCTTTCTAGTTGGTCAAGGAGAAAGGATGCAGTGCTCAGGGACTGGGGGAACAAATCTCACTTTATACTTACAAGTCATATTCTCTAAGCACTGAAATGATTTACTCTAACTGCAATTAGGACAGAATTCAGTGCAGTGAGTAGTATCATACAAAGTATACCACAAGAAATGATACAGCTTTCAAAGGTAGCAAATATCTAAGCAATAATCTAGCTTCAGATGGCATATATGCTGCTTGCTACTTACTTGCTTACTTGGGCAAATAGAATTCAGTGAAATTTTCACCTGTTACTCTAATTCCTTCATCTACCATCATAGTATTTTGGTTATTTTTCTAAGAAAATAAAAGCACTTCTACTTTACCACACAGCTATCTGGAGTTTGTGTGTCCTCTAGTCTACCTAGGGAACTGTCATCAGGACGGTCGCAAGGGAACAAAGTAACTGGCATGCAAAGGTTTGTAAACGACTGTGAATGACCTATAGCAGCAAGAGCTCCCAGCACCACAGAAGGCTAAGCATTTCAAAGGGAAGGTCCCATTTTCGTCTCACTAGTAGGGTATTCAGGACAAAAGTTCATATTATAACCATAAACCAAGAGCCTGTTTTTAAGAGATTTGGAAAAAAAGATATCTGGCATAAAAGTGATTGAATTTGGCATTTTTGTCAGTATTTCTATAAAACAGCCCCTTTAAATGAGAGGGGTGTCCTAGCTTGCAAGATTCTTAAAGGCAGCAACTGTATCTTCTCAAGCATCCCTAGTATACAGAGGGGCTTCACACAGAGTGGGGCTTAGTAAACAGCTGGTGAACTGAATTTTTAAGAATCTGTAAGTATTATAACAATCACATTTCTAATGGGAGTTAGTAAACCAGGGGAGAGAGCTCCTCTCCCTGTATCTTGGTTTGTAGGCTCACAGCAACCAAAAATAGTGAAGATGCAAGCTCAGTGCTGTCTCCTTCCCATTTTTGTTGGAACAATCTTTTCATGTTACTATAGTAACGCCTGGTACTAGAATGCTCGGTAAACGAAAGTGGGAAGGGGGAAGAGATCATGAGATTGATGCAGTTCATAGAAAAATATGCCCAGAGGGCAACCTCCTTAGTAGTCTGCAAAGCTTGTGTATGTCCCATTTTATAATAAATGTATTTAAATAATACATGACAGTATATAGAACAGATACAATATGTCAAAACAGAGATCCACTGAGCCCAAGAAAACTGTATTAAGTCTGAGATTATAAGTAAGTGAATATTTTAAGACATTTGAAAAAATTCCAGAGGGAATTTAGTCCAAGATAAGACACTTTTTCATTTCAGCACATAAGGTAACAGCAGCAAAATTCTAAAGATGAGAACATGCAGCTACACTGAGTGGAGGCTGGATATGAACGGGACGTGACCTGAATGGGGAAGGACCTCAGTCACTGCAGTTGTAAGAGGTAGGTATAACTTAACAAAACAAAGACGTCTGCTTGTAGGACTTGCCCTCTGATATGTGCAGCTTTAAGGCCATGTATGATCAAAACTACAATTTAAAATAGAAGCATGGAAAGGCCATGAAGCAGCTGATTCCCAAACTACAAGGTTAAGTTTTTCCACACTAGCTTTGCACTGTGCTGACTGTATTTAAGTAGAACCCAAGCGGGGAAAGCATCTGACTACCTGAGCAAGCGATGTAACATGATGTGGAAACTTCTAGCCTGCAAATAATTTGGTGTGAGGACATGTGAAGAGAGCTGCTGTAGTTTCTTGATTTATGGCTTCATTAAAGTGTTTGGGCTTCCAACCTTCGTCAAAATTTATTGGAATTAACAGCCTCTTAAAATGGAAATATACCATGACAAATTAATGCAGTCTGAATCTTGGGAGAGGGGAAGAAGAGAGCACTGTAGACACCCTTTATATTCCTTCACAAAGAGCCTGCATAAGTAATGGGGAAATCTGGAGCTACAGTCTTCTTGGTTAGGTCATCTCTTACCCTGTTGACTTTGAGGATCAATTGAACTTGACTTCCTCACACTGTCATCCACCCCATGAGCATGTCCTATTGCCTTTACCTACAGGATGTTTCCTGACCTTCTACACCATCTCCATGACTACCACCCTAATTCAAGATACCACTCATTTTCTACCTGGTGACCCTGCCTCTACTTGTGAACTTTTACAATCAATTTTCAACAAAGCAGCCAGTTATCTTCTTAGAACATAAAGAATATCATGCTACTTCTGGATTTAGAGTTCTCCAACGGCTACTCATTTACCTGTACTTAGACACCAAACTTTTTTGTCCTGCTCACCCATCTCTTTCTACTGCTTTTGTTACTATATTCTAGCCATAAATGGTGCTCTTTCTGTTTGTCACAATTTCAAGCACGTCCTACCTCAGTGCCTTTGCCCCTACTGTTCTCCTTCCTAGAAAATTCTTTCCTATGTACCTTGGCAGGATAGGCTTCCTTTTGCCATTCAAATTTAAGCCTTATGTCACCTACTCTAAGATGCCCTTTTGACCACATAATCAAACATTACCAGTGAAATGCGATCACAATAACTTTGGCAGTTTTTGGCACAGCAGAGTTCTCATTTCAATTCTGTAAAAATTTACAATGGTTTGGGCTCCCCAACAGAGCTACAAGCTCCATTAAGGCAGACATTTTATTTATTTTAGTACTATTAAAAATGATACCCGTACACATGATATTCTTTATGTTCTAAGAAGATAACTGGCTGCTTTGTTGAAAATTGCCTGTAAAAGTTCACAAGTAGAGGCAGGGTCACCAGGTAGAAAATGAGTGGTATCTTGAATTAGGGTGGTAGTCATGGAGATGGTATAGAAGGTGCCCAATGTTCTTACTGAAAAATAAAACTTACAAACTCTAGATTCAGCCACTTCCAAAAAGCCTGTCCCCTCATGACTGCATAAGTCTTTGGGGGGACATCTAGACACAAGGTAAACTCTTAGCTGTGAATCCCTTTTAAGAATAAAAAAGCAAGTTCAATATCTCTAACATACAATGGCACAGGTTAAACACTCGCATTCTGAAGGGGAGGAATAGAGATACAGAAAGGAACTGGACCAAGATAAGACCAAAACTAGCAGGGAAAATAATAAATCCTGTAGCTCCATGTCCACTACTCAAACAAACTGTGGTGAGATGTAAGCTCCAAAGGACTTGGGTAGCCCCACCCCTATATTCTTGCTGGTTGCAGAACACATGGCCTCTCTTGTGGGGTGGCTCTGCTCACTGCCTGCAGTTTTCTTCAGCAGATGTCTATGTTCCTGGTAACTCCAGTTTCCTGGGGTCTCCACTGTGCCTTCAGCTTCACTCAAAACTATGTATTGTACTCTCAGGGGACTCCTAGTAGGGACTGTGGACCTGGCACATTTTGCCTGGCCTTCCAGGCCTTCTTCTCACATCTGGTTGAAAGCCTCCATGACCCATAATTCATGCATTCTTTTGGGTGTACATCCTGTACCACATGGACAGCACTAAGGTCTACCAACAGTGTGAACAGTAACCTGGCCCCATTGGGCCTAGGGTGTAGTGGTCTCTCAGTGTATGGATAGCTGAACTCTGAAATACATTTCCTTAGGTAGCCTTGAATGAGCAGAGCACCCAGGAATTCCCTCCCACCTCCAAATCTTCTGAAAGCAGTTTTTCAAAGTTTACCCCTTTGTATCATTAAGACTGTGGTGGGGTGTGGACATTCCTGGGATGCCTTTAAGCCATCTTTTCTACTGTCCTGATGCAAAGTACTTGGTTTATTTTTAATGCTAATCGTTCAGCAATTATACTCTCCTTGGCCCCAATTTTGCAGATGCTTCTCTTCCGGTGAAACTGCAAACTTTTCACATCTTTTGGCTCTACTTTCTGCTCTCGAATATCACTATAAATCTGGCTAAAAGCAGCCAGAAGCACACATAACACAGCCTGAACATTGGGCTGCCTTGAAATTTCCTCTGCCAAATCAATTAGTCTGTCACCTTTAAGTTCAGCCTCACACACATTCTTAGGGAACAGACAAAATGGAGACACACTTTCTGACACAGTGTAACACACACGGCCTCTAGACCAACTGCCAATGGAATCCTTGTTCCCAACTAAAACCTCTTGAGCTTAGCCTTTACTGTTCCGTTCTGACAACCATCATGGTCTTGTGAGCTCAGACTAGAATTATCCATCAGGCTCTATTTATTGCATTCTGAGCTTCTCTAGCCCCTATCTCCAAACCTTTCTAAACTTCTCTGAAAACCAGCTCCAAAGGTATCTAAGCTACATAGTTAGGTATAGTCAAAGTAATGACCTCATTTCTGTGGTGCCAATTTTCTGTATTAGTTAGTTTCCCATCCCTGGCACAAAATATCTGACAGTTGCGACTTAAAGGAGAAGAGGATTATTCTGGCTCAGAATTCTAGAGGATTCAGTCCATAATTGGTTGGCTCCAAGGCAGAAATGCCATGGGAGAAGGGCATGGTAAAGGATAGCTACTCATCCCATGGGGTAAAAATACATTCTTTCAAGATTTACCCTCCATGACCTGCCTCTTATGACCAGGCCTCAACTCCTAATAGCATATTCAGCTATGAAGTCATCCTTGGATTCAACCACTGACAAGTACAGTGCTACCATGATCTAACCACCTTCTAAAAGCTCCACCTCTGATTATATGAGCCTTTAGGGGGGCACTGTAGATCTAAAACATAACAATAACTTATTATTTTCCCAAACTATTAATATAGAATAGCTGATAGGACTCTGGGCTTGAAGTCAGAGGCCAAGTATCAAAATTTTAATTCTATTACTTATTTGTAGCCAATTTAACCCTGAGAACATTATTTAACTTCACTGAGCCTCATTTTTCCATCTGTCTAGTAGGAATAATAGCATTTGGCTCTAAAATGAACATGTAAAAGCACTAGGGTTTGCATTTTTTAGGTACTCCATATCTGAGCCAATGATGAGGGTAAGACTAGCACTTATGCCTTTGTCCACTGCTTCACAGTGGACAAGTGATAGGCATCCTCTGGTGTTCCTAAAGTATTTACAGGGAAGAGAGAGATTCTTCCAGAACTCTGTAGGAGTTGTTTCACAATATCAAAGATACAACTCTCACAAAGGAAAGGATGACATCAAAACACAATTTTCATAAAGCAAAGGATGACATCTCACCACAGGCTACAGAAGTAATAGAAGCAAAAGTGAACTACTCAGAAAACAGGCTTATCAAAATACAAAGCCAGACAGATGACAATACAATTACACAAGACTTTGATTCAGTAGCAGTACCATATTAAGTGCCAAGAAGGTTGTACTGGTGACTTCTGGGGATGTTAGTGGATTTGCCATTGTATATTAAAAACCTACCCATCAGGACAGTCTACAACTATAGCATAAACCAAGGAAGACTTTGAGGATTGATTACTATTGTGCATTATCTTCAAATCATAGACAAGAACCTGATTCATATTTATGTATCAACCTTTTTCTTCACTCAATCTTATATTTAAGTTTTTCTACATTTTTGTCAAGTCACTTGGAGGCAGACATCAACAGATTATTTCTAAATAGCAATAAAGATTTTCTCTTGAGAACGCTCTCAGGCTGCAAGGTGCAGTCCCTTTTCATTTTAAGGCCCTCACCTACAACTGAGGGAGCTCTCTGTTCCAGAATTGCCCTCAAACAGGCCCTGATACCACAAAGAAGCTGACTCCAAATGATTAGACAGCTGCTGGAAAACAATCCGTTTCCACGCTACCACCTTCACAAATGCAACCTCAGTGACCTCCTAGAAGGAGGCATGCTTTTTGCCTGTTTAATAGAGAAGGAAGCAAATAAAAATCCTTCAGCTAGTCCACTGTAGAGCCAAGAATAGAGAGAAGTTATGATTTCCTATATCATATGGTCTCCAGCAAGTTTGCATTATTGACATTTTCAATACAGTGTATTAGCTCTAGTACTCCTAAGAAGGTTTTGAGAAAGGGAAGGGAATTTAATCCTTAGCTATCCTCAGTGGCAGCTCCAGACCTCAAGGCTGCAGTTTGGGCACAGAGCAGTACCTGAACCTCTCACTGAATAACCATTGTGTCTGTTTGCCTTCAGTTTCTCATCCAGCCTTTAGCCATAAATACCAAGTATGTATCACCTATTAGACAGCTATGTATATAGCAGAATGCCTGTTTATTTAACATTTGTTAAGTGCCAGGTATTGGGCTCAGAGTTTCTGCTTAGCAATGTCATTTAATCCTCACCCCCCTCACACATAGTAGGTTATATTTTCCCCTCGGGACAAATGAAGAAAGCTGAGGCAGCTGGTAAATGGCAGGATCAAGGTTTGAATCTGAGAATGTCGGAGCTCAGATGACAAACTCCTGTTACTTATATAGCTAACAAGCATCTCAATTTAACTAAAATAAACTGAATCTTGGTTTTAAAATATAGAC